GAGGGGAGGTTGTGCGGGAGCAAGATCGGAGTCGCAACGAAGAAGAAGAAGGTGAAGAGGAAGAAGATAGGAAGAAGAAACGAATGAAGAGAGAGAAGAAGAAGAAGGAGAAGAAAAGAGTTAAAAAACAAAAAACAAAAAAAAAACAATAAGAAGAAAAATTGTCGTCGATTACTTATCTGCACAGAGGTAGCAACGACGATGACGAGGATGGCACTGCGTGGCGACGAGGATGACGGGCACTGCGATGGCAACGTGGCACGACAACCACGATCGCGACGGTGACGATGATGACGTGGCACAGCGACAACGATCGCGACGATGATGATGTCTTGGTACGGCCACGACCAACGCGACGATGATGCCGTTGACGTGGCACAATGGCGATGGTCTCGATGATGACGTGGCGACGACGATCTCGACGATGATGATGATGACGTGGCATGCGACGATGGCGACGAAGCAGGATGAGTCGGGCAGGTTCGAACCACTCCGATACCAGTGTGACGAGCGTGAGGCCGAGGGAGAGCCGAGGGAGAGGCGAGAGAGAGGGAGAGAGTGAGAGCACACACACACACTCACTCGACACAACCGAGGGTCGGACGCAGACACCGTGGCAAGGCACAAAGTCAAAGTCTTGGATTCCGAATGCCCAAACAGCAAGTCACACTGAGTATGAGTACAGCAGCAGAAAACTGGTACGAGACTGGTCCCCGTACCGTACTGAGAGCCGGTATAAGTACCGGTGACACGTACGGTACCAGGGGCATTTCTGCAAAGGCCCCGAGGGCAGAACTGAAAAATGCGGTATTTGAAAGTGGCGCCCAAATTGCAGCACGGCGGGTGCCAGGCCGAAAACGGGATGCAGCCAAAACAGCAAAAAGATAGACCAGGGATCGAGCCCTGGCGGAGTCTGTAACATGGCGGGTAGATGGGGGTTATAGTAGGAGGACCAGGAAAATGACGATGAAGATACAGATGGAGGAGATATGGCGGGGAGATGACAGAAGCCAAACCCATGAACGGGAAACACAAAAAAGAGAACAAAAAAAATCACGATTTCCAGCAATTTCCTGTGGAGGGAATATGGCGGGAAGATGGGGGGTTATAGTAGAAGGACCAGGAGGATGACGACGAAGAGTAGACATGGAGGAGAAGAGATGGAGGGAGGCAAAGACAAGGGACTTGAGGAGGAAGAGGATGGGCTGAGGACAGATGCCCATCCTTGTCTTTGCCTCCCTCCATCTGTACTCTTCATCGTTGTCCTCGTGGTCGCGGACCTTTTTCTGTGTGTGTGTGTTTCCC